GCTTATCCCATAGGCCTCATGCTCCCATGGAACTGCCTCATCCTAGTCCTGCTTCCTCATGAAGATATTTGCATGGAAGTACTTCCCACACCAACTAAGACTCCAGGAAGGTTGGGGCCACAATGACCAGGTATATGTGCCACAGTATCAGTCACAATATTGCTGGTGTATCTATTTTATTGCCTACTCCTTTGTTCAAGCTCTAGTGATGTAGCTGATTCAGCAGTCTTGCCCATGAATCTTGTCCTCTGATAAGTCATGGCCTTGCCAGTGAACTACAGTGATGGGACTGTGTTTAGATAGGTGGGCAGGAGCTGGGACTAGGGCTGGGCAATATATCAACATATCGTCCAAAACTGGTTTAAAGTTCACATCGTGATAATGTTTCATAATATTTGAGCTGGCAATATATCACAAATCACAATGTGTGTAAGGGCTAAGCAATATCTGGTTTTCAACATCGCGATAAATCACCAGCTAAACACTGCAATGTTATCAGCAGCTAAACCTCACAATATCACCAGCTAAACATTGCAATCTACCACAATGTCTGAAGTAAGGCTGGAACTATACAGAGGTGAACAGGACAATGTCCTTGCAACTGCTAGGGGTCTAAAACAGATAAATGACAATATTATCAATCATCACACACTCAGTTTCATCACCAGGCAAGCCAAGATGCATCCCAACAGGACTTTTGGTTTTGGGCTTGGCTACCAAATGGTGGTATTTAGGACAATCCAGACTACAGTGATGAGTCATAGTGGATAAAAATAATCTGGGACTGCCAGACCACCAGCAGGCCTGCTAGGAGGCAGAAGTAGCAGTGGCAGAAACAGCTTGCCATAACCATGGTACATGTCGGTAGTAGCGGTGACAACCTGCAAGGCCTGGCAGTGGCAGCACAATCATGGTGGCCTGCAAGTCCTTGTGAAGGCAGTGGGAGGGGGCAGCAGCAGCAGCCTGCAAGGCCTCACGGTGGCGGAACAAGCAGTGGCAACTTGTGAGACCTCATGGTGGTGACGGGAGCTGGTGGAAGTAGCAGTGGCAGCCTGCAAGTAGTGGTAGCTGTTGCCAGGACATTGTCCTATTCGCCTCTGTTTCTTTCCTTATTTCAGATATCGTGATATATCAATATATCACAATGTTTAGCTGGTGATATATTGCGATATTGAAAACCAGTTATCGCTCAGCCCTAGTGGGAACAGGATAAAAGATCAGATGATGAAGTTGCCTTCTCATCCAATTATCGGAGAGCAAATGCCACTATACAACCCCCACCCATCAGAACATAATGCTTTGCTGTGCACAACTATCTTTGGGTTGGATTTGTATCCCATTCCATCCATGTCAATATGAAAGCTTGCCACTCATTATCAATTCTCTTGACAGGATTTCCTCTGCAATCTGGGGAGGGATCAGTTTGCATGCAGAGGAAATGCCAGGACTCAAACTTATCTGCAACTCAAGCTTTCCAACCAGGTCACTGTGTATGGAGGCTGACTGTAATGACCCCAGTAGCAAGGAAAAGACACGCTGTACCATCCAGAGACACTCTTGCCAGCAGAGAAACATTAATCTTTTTCTCCTGCATAACCTTGGGGACTTCCTCCTATTCCAGGAGTGGTCTAGAACTAGGAACAGGATGCTGGGTGGAGTTGATCCCCCCACGCCCCGCCTCAGTCTTTGTCAGGGATCTTGTTGGATGGGTTTTGCTCACACTCAGGGTCAACATATTTAAGGTCAAGAAGAAATTTCCCTTCATGTCAGGCCCTTTTGTTTTTAATTTTGGCCTCTTATTTAAGTCATTTGCAGCAGTTTGCTCTGTGGGTACCTTTCTGTAATACAGTTGTGGGCACACAAGGATTGTGCATTCTAGTGTACTTGTATAGAAAAAAAAGTGTCTATTTCAACTGTTTGAACACTGTTCACTCTCTCTCTTTTGCTGTTTAGTCGCGTCCAACAGAAAAACAAGGCTGCAATGAAAAAAAGCGTCAAAATTTCATTCTGATCTGGCTGTCAGCTTCTGTGTGCTGTAGGAATGTTTCAAATGTAAAGGGCTGTTGAAAATATGCAACCTTCAATGGGATCCTGCTGTACACAAGCAATTATAGAAGATCCACTGTTCTCGGTAACCATCTGCAGAAACTCGTATGCTGATTTTGCATGAAGGTAGCAAAAGCCAGATTGGTAGAGGAGATCTGCTGCTCTGCTCTGTGTACATTACGCACAATGGAAAGGCAATGTGAAAAGCTAGGCTGTTTTCCCAGATTGGCCATCCACACCTGAACAGAAGGGTGAATGGGTATACTATTCACATCAAAATGGTGTTATGAGTTTTGCTGTCTTGATTAGCATGAATGGGCCCTATCACTATGGTTTCACCTGACAGACTAATGGGTAATCAGGGGCTTGACAAAAGATGGCTAATGTTTTTTAATGACCAGGGGTGTTTTTCTTAATAGCCTGGTAATCTCTCTCCCCTGCCTTTAGAATACAATGCCCATTCAGAGCTAGTAGAAAAAGTAAGGTTACCCTGGGACGGCCTCAGTCTTGCCAGACTCAGGGCTTGGGCGCCAGCCTCAACAGCCATTCTTGGTCCGGAACATTCCGGGTCCTGCCAGCGTGGACATCGCTGCTCGGCGAGCCGAAGCACACACGGAAACACCGTTACCTCTCCCGCTAGTAAGCGTCCTTATCTACCTATTCCCCGGGAGCTGTTAATACTGCAGCCAGCCTGACCTATTCCAACGAGCAGGGCGCACCCGCGCATATTCCACGCTTTCGATCGGGTCTTGAGGCTTTCCCGGGCCCCCCAATTTTAAGGTTCCCTCAAGTGTCTCTGTTTATTATTATTATTTATTAAATTTGTATACTGCCCTATATCTGCAGGTCTCTAGCTGGACTGGAATCAGCTGGGGAGTTGCAGATGTTTAGGATGTTGCTTTGTTTGCTAATGTGATGCAGGATTAGTAGTTTTGCTGCCTTTTGTAGATGTCTAATATTTCCAATGAATCCTGCTTGTAAATAAAATAAAATAAAAGATAAGTATTGCCCTTTTTGTAATGGTATGTCCCAGACTGAACTCAAAGGGATGTTTGACATCCAAAGCTGTTTATTTTTTGAGTCCACAGGTTTTCTGTGCAAGCATAGTATTTGGTATTGTGACACAAAATTCACCATCCCATTAATCTCAGATTTCAAACAAACGCAACAGTTCAATTCTACCATCCCACACTCCTCCTCTTAAATCTAATCTCCACAGCCAGGCCTCAAAAGTAACTGAATCTGCACGGTAAGGAACCTGCCTTCCCCTTATGAAATGACAAAAACAAAATGAGTAGAGTCCATGCCGGTTCCTCAACTACAGCTCTGATTCATTTCCTGCCCGCTACTTGTGGGCTGCAGATGACACAAAAGTAGGAGTTGACTGCAAAAGATAGAGAGAGCGGAACATGTATCTCAGGAAACTGGAGAGCTGAGCAGACAGAATCCAAACCAGGTACTTGTTACCATTGTGCCCATGGTGGCTGATCCCTGCTCATGGTGGTTTGGGTGGCCTGTGAGAGCAGGAGTTGCAGTTTTCACAGCACTTAGAAAAGCACTGTGTGATGAGTGCAGAACATGTGAAATTTCCAGATTTTGCTATTCTTTCTTCCCAGGTGAACTAATATTTTCTGGTTAATTGAGGCAAATTGTTGAGTTTTCTATTCTAACCAGGGATGCCAACGGTAGTGGTGGAAGGGGCTTCAGCCCCCTCAATATTTGTGAGGAGGGGGCCAAGCCCTCCCATTATTGAGGGGGCTGCCATACCCGCCACCGCCAGGCAAGCACTTGCATGCTTGGCAGGATGCGCGGAGAGTGATTCGCACTGCCGGGCAAGCGCTCATGCTGGTGGGATATATCACATGATGATGGGCCCCCTCAATGTGGGGTGCAAGTTGGCACCCCTGATTCTACCTGTTCTACCTGCTTTCACTTGCAAACTGACATGGGATTTCATCTGCATAGTAATGTATTCTAGGCAGAAGTTATGTTCTAGACAAAAGAACTCTCGACAAATGGGCACTCTTGTACAGTACTCTGAAATACAAGGCCAGGAAGAGATTGTTACAGATAGCATGAGCACTATTGGATCATCCACACTTCCCCTTGTCCTGTGTCTAGAAATCACAGGTCCAAGCCTGTTTTCTGGAAATCTGTAAGAACGGGCAATACAGGGTATGTGTATGAATCCTTCCCTCCCTAGGCCCTCAGCCCAGCTCTTTAGGCTCATTCTCTAACCAATGCATATCAGGGGTACATGTTTTCTGGTGTTGTTCACACAACGCTGTCCTCATCCAAGTGGCAGCTGACACTCTACAGCCCCACCCCGCACCGCCCCAATTTAATTCAAACTTTTCTGATCTGTGGATAATGCAGTAAGGAAAAAAACACATGTAAAATTGCCTGTTAGCCAACTGTGGACATACTGAAGGGCAATGTGTGCGTTGTTGTTGTTTTTAAAGCATGCAATGATACTGTCCTGGGTGCCACCTATCACCCATCTATTCTTTACTTTCACTAGCCCTGGTGCTACTAAGTGGGCTGCCAGTGAGGCTGTGCGTAACACACACTTTTAAAAAAAGCAAAACCCATTGTTTTGGGCAGGTCTGGTATATCAGAAAACTTGAGTCTATTTTTTATTTTTATGGTTGCACGCATAGGTAAACAAATACCTGCCCATATGCCTACAATGGCCTTTAGGTTTCTGGAACTCGGGTGTGTGAAGAAGTACTAATTGGCAAGTGGTGGGGGACAACAATACATAGTGGGAATACATCACATCAAGCACCGCCCACCACTGTGGAAGGGGAACATTGAGAAAGAGTTCAACTGAAGGAGCTCATGTGCGGCCCACATACACATTAACACTGTGGTGTGCACACAGCCTCAGATAGATGGACCAATGGTTTGAGTTGCCATACAAAGCAGCTTTATATGAATGAAAGCCTACTAACCTGGAAGAACTTCATAAATGCAGTCATCGCTCTGTCCGTCATCCTCATCTTCCTCCAGGTCCAAAGAGGTATCCTGATGATGTGTCACATTGGGGGAATCAAAACTGTCTATGTCATCATAGGCCTCTTCTTTGATATTGTCGTCGTCGTCATCCTCGACTTCCTCACAGGGGATAACTGAGGACTTAATATCTGGGAGAAGAAGATAAGAAGGAAAATACATGACACACAAAGGAAGAGGAAAATAAAGAGAAAAAGGGAAATGGACAGCACAATTAGATGCTGATGTTCCTTAGGGTAAACAGTATTATTTTCAGCTGGCAAGATGTGGTCTGAGCGAATGTCGATGGAGGTTTGTTAAGACTGATTATTAAATTCGTCACATGTTCTGAGTGACGGAAGAACCAACTTCTGCCCTTAATTTGAACTAAGAGGTGCCATAACAAGAATGCTCTGAATATGCCTGAGTTATCCTCTTCCATGAAGCTGTAGATCTGGACCTGGCAAGTACAGCTCTTGTCTCAGTGAAGCATGGTTTGACTGTATCCCTCCCCACCCCACAATATCCTAGTGTCCGAAACTCAGGGAGGCTGACAAAGCATTTAAAGAGTATTGAAACAGGCAAATTTAAAAACAAAACCAGAACAAAAAACCCTGAACATTAAAGCCCCAGTTTCTCCACTAGCTTAATCTCTGCCATAACAACAACAACAACAGCAAAGTGAAGTATGTGTGTTTCCCAGCTCTTTCCCCCCATAGCACAGCAACATGGCTTTATTAGTATCAAGTTAGTGTCTGTTTGTGCACACACTAGGGGACAGGGTGGGAACCTCTTTACCCTTTTAGAGCAGTTGCATGAACCTATACATTGAAACTGGGAGTATCATCACTGCTTTTCTAGAATGAGAGGTGGTAGGTTTAAAGCTGTAAAAAGTAGCACACCCTATATCAGTGTTTCCCAACCACTGTTCCGCGGCACACTAGTGTGGCGCGAGATGTTGCCTGGTGTGCCGTGGGAAAAATTAAAAAATTATTATTTTTTTAAAGTCAAATTTTCGATTGGGGCGCCGTCACTAGATGACCCCTGGGGTTCCCTCCCTCCCTCCCGCTCTGTGCCTCCCTCCTCCCTCCTCCTCCTCCTCCTCCGGGGAGGCCCTTCCTGGCTCTCGGCCAAGGCTTGGCGGCTGCCACTCACTCACTCGCTCGCCCACCCGTCCCTCCATCCCTGCACCCGGCCTCTCCCCCTCCGTCCCCGGCGCGGGGGCTGCCGGGATCCGTAGTCCCCTCGCCCTTGGGCTCCGCGCCCGCGCGGGGTGCGCAAACTACGTTTCCCAGCGTGGCCTGGCGGGCCGGGCGTTTTGTTTGAAGCGCTCTTCTCCCGGCCATGGAATGAGCGCGGCGGCGGCCGGGCGGGCAGGGGCTCTTCCGCGCAGACCCCGCGCAGCCTGCCTGCGCCCCCGCGGAGATCGGGCGGCAGGATGGAGGCCGGGGATCCCCGCGGAGGCGGAGCGGTGGAGGCGGAGGCTGCCCCCCAGGTAGGGCTGTGTCGGGGGTTTTTAATTTTTGCAATGCTGCATCCGCGCCGGAGGGGACACATCGGACCGCGGGGAGACCCCTTGGCGGGCGTGCAAGGCAATGCATGCGTGCAGGCGTTGCATGGAGTGCAGTGCAATGCAATGGCAACGCGGCGCCCTGCATGCATGCATGCAACTTCCACCGGCGCTCCGGACTTGGCAGGTGAGGGGGGTCCCCAGTGGGCGGCAGAGAGAGCCGGGAGGGTGAAGGGGAGCCGGGGGGGAGCAGCGCTGCTCCCCGAGCCGAGCCCGGGGGGAAACTTCGGCGTCGTTGCACCGGGTGTTGGAAGCGGAGGCTGGCGGGGGCCCCTCACCTGCAAAACCTGGTCGCCTCTCATATATTTCGTGCATTGCATTCATCGCCCGCTTTCTCCTCCAAGGAGCTCCCGGGGGCGCGCGTGGTTCTCCCCGTGTTATCCTCGCAACAACAGCCCTGCGAGGTGGGTCAGGCGAGTGGCCCAAGGGAGCACCCAGGGATTGTCCTGGCCAGGTGGGGTGATTTGAACCCTGCTCTCTGCCCGGTCTTCGTCCTCATTTAGCCCCCACATGTGCATGACTGTGCATGACTGAGGTTTTCCCCCCTCGTCTTGGCTATGGTGTGAGTCTGTGCTGTTAATTAATGGGGTTCTGCCTTCGGAGAAGATGAGCCAGCCCTCAAGGAGGTGATTATGTAATTTCCTAGCAATTCATGTCCCTCCCGGCGTGACGCTGCGCGCTGACGTCACGGGGCTGTAATGGTGGTGTGCCTCGAGATTTTTTTCATGAAACAAGTGTGCCTTTGCCCAAAAAAGGTTGGGAAACACTGCCCTATATAGCCTGAAAGTCCTAACACTAGTCAGCAGAGGTGTGATGCTAGCTGGCTGAGGTTTATCAGAGGTGAATGAGAAGTATTGTACATATGACCATAGGCATTAGTTTTCTTTTGTGATTACTACTTTATATGCTCCAGAACGGGATCAATTTGCTTAGTTCAGGGATGAGGAACTTCTGGCTTTCCAGATGTTGTTGGACTCCAGCTCCCATTATCTATGACAACTGACTATTTTGGTTGGGGCTGATGGGAGCTGGAATGCAACAATATCTGGAGAACCAGAATTTCCCCATCCATTGCCTAGTGAACCATGGAACAAAATAAAACAAACATCTTTACCATTACCGTACTTTCAATTGATCAGAGTTCAAGTCAATTGGAGGAAGATGCTTGGGGCGGAGGGGGGGGACCTTGTGCCCTCCTCACCAACTATACCAAGCTATTCTGTGGTATTGGAGCTTCTCTCCTCAAACAACAATACTTCTTGGGCCATTTCTTTTCTGGAGATCTCTGCTTAGCAGGTTGCTTGCTGTGATTTGCTCTTTCTCCCTCCCCTATTGTGGTATGAATTATTTTGGCTAATTGGAATGTGTGGGCAGATATGATTTGCAGATTATTTATCCTTGGAGTTGAGGGGGGACAGCTTTCTGGTGACTCCTAGCTTCATGCGTTTACGTAAGCTGACAAAATGTTAGTCATAACATCTTTTTTAAAAACCCCAGTATCAACACTGCTTTCACACACTGACCAGAAGAGGGTGCTTTGAGAGCACACATCCTTTGCAACTCAGAAAGTGGCTTCAGCAAAGCAAGTGTGAGTTTAATTTTTAATTAACCCATCACACATACACACATGCACACATGCACACACAGCTCATTATTAGGGGTTTATTCTGGCACACAAAACAAGCAACAATAAATAAATAAATATGGAATAGCAAATAGCACTAGCACCTTATAGACAACAACATCAAAAGGGGATGGGGAGAAGAAGGCATCCTTTGGATTTGAGTCTCAGGACACTTTCACTTTGTTTTACGTAACATCTATGAGATCACACACATGGATTTTGAGTTAATTAACATGAAAGAACTAGCAGCCCCTAGTTTTATATCCATATAAACACTGATGTGGATTAAGACTCACATTTCGCTCACAAACAAGGATAGAGAAGGTGGAAAATGTTCCCTTGTTCAACATTCCCATTGTGAGCATGGCATTGTGGTTAAAGGGTGTTAAGAGATAACCAGCCAGTGATTTTCAGTAGGTGCCTTTAGAGCAAGATTGCTTCTTCTCCCAGTCTTTTTCTCATAGCTTCTGGGGAAAGGACTGGGAGAATACTCCCCTTCTTTGTCAAACTTTCCTCAACTCCCGTGTTACACTACACACTTCCTCAGCAAAACCTGAAATGGCCCTAGCCCCATGTTGTTTGTGCCTCTTCACCAAGTCACCTGCCCCTCCCCCATTTTTATCTAGATTGTAGGACCTCTAGACAGGAACTATCATATCTGGGTTGTGCATCGTACATGACCTAGGATCCTGTCAGGGAGGTTAGTAAATTTCAAGTGTGGTTTAATGGAGGAAGTAGAAGAAAAGAATGTGTGAAGGGGTTGTGAGGCCCCAGGGGCTAGCCCTGCTTCCTGGTGATGAATGCAGTGCATACACACCTATTTTATCCATACATTTAGTTGTCTAAAGGGGCTCTATAAGCCCCTTTAGACAACTGTGCCCCTGAAGGACCAGGTACGCAGCCTAGGAGTCATTTTGGACTCACAGCTGTCCATGGAGGCAGAGGTCAAATCTGTGTCCAGGGCAGCTGTTTACCAGCTCCATCTGGTACGTAGGCTGAGACCCTATCTGCCTGCGGACTGTCTCGCCAGGGTGGCGCATGCTCTGGTTATCTCCCGCTTGGACTACTGCAATGCACTCTACGTGGGGCTACCTTTGAAGGTGACTCGGAAACTACAACAAATCCAGAATGCGGCAGCTAGACTGGGGGAGGCCGCCAAGACCATATAACACCGTCTTGAAAGACCTACATTGGCTCCCAGTATGTTTCCGAGCACAATTCAAAGTGTTGGTGCTGACCTTTAAAGCCCTAAACGGCCTCGGTCCAGTATACCCGAAGGAGCGTCTCCACCCCCATCATTCTGCCCGGACACTGAGGTCCAGCGCCGAGGGCCTTCTGGCGGTTCCCTCATTGCGAGAAGCAAAGCTACAGGGAACCAGACAGAGGGCCTTCTCGGTAGTGGTGCCCGCCCTGTGGAACGCCCTTCCAGCAGATGTCAAAGCGATAAACAACTACCTGACATTCAGAAGACATCTTAAGGCAGCCCTGTTCAGGGAAGTTTTTAACGTGTGATATTTTACTGTATTTTTGGTTTCTATGGAAGCCACCCAGAGTGGCTGGGGAGGCCCAGCCAGATGGGCGGGGTATAAATAATAAATTATTATTATTATTATTATTATTATTATTATTATTATTATTATTACAATGAAGTGCATGTAGAGATTCTCCACACAAAGGGGGCAACTCTGACTGGGCCAGTTTCCCCACTTTTGTGGAAGAGCTTTATTTACATACATTGTTGTACATGGTGAGCCCTCTATGTGCTGGCCTAAAATATGGACAGCAGGTGGCGGTATGGTCACCCCATGCATCAGCAGTGGGGATGGGGCAAGCCCATGTAGCTTGTGTCAAATGTTCTTTCAGTGTGTCAGTGTGTGTGCATGCCTCCCCAGGATTTATAAAGCATTGGACTTCCACCTAGAAGAGGTGCAAATTGCCACATGACCACGGAAGTGGTCAGGTAGAGTTGGGCCAATCACCATCTCTCTTCCTAATCCAGCTGACATATTTGCTGCAAGGATAAAATGGGATAACCTTGATGGAAACTGCTTTTTGCCAGGAAAGGAGAACACAAATGTGAATATTAGCAATTAAATGAGTAGAAGAACTGTTGCCTTCTCGCTTCTCTCTTTCAAAACAATATTAAAGGTTTCAGAAATGTCACTTTGGGATCTTCTTTAAATTAAAGATTGCCTTTTGTTTTGTGAGCTTTTTAGACAATCTTACCACTATGCTTATGTGATTTTCTGCGTGGAGGTAAGAAATCAACAGAAAAGCACAGGCACAAAAGCTAAGATTCTGGTAAATAATACAGAAGGAGGGTGATCGGAAGTCTGGAGTTTATACACTGTTTGGCCCTTTGTAGTCAATTCCTGACATAGTCTAAATAACAGTTAGGCTCATAAATATATGCTCATCAGTTGAAAAATATACAACTTTGGAGACTGCATTGCTACACTGGAACATCACAGGAGCCAGGTCTTCCTCTGACGTCTTGCATGTGTGAATGGGCCAGCAGCCACTACAGACAGAACTTCCTATCAGTTCATATTCCCTCAAAACACAGTGTTTTTTCAGTGACAGCAGTACATGCCCTTAGCTGCAAGTCAACAAGTCTCAAGTTTTATAGGTGGGAATCACTCTCACCTATATCGTATGGATTTGTTCCCTCTTAAGCTACTCACCCTTAAGCAGGAATTGGATCTGATCCACCCAGTCCATGGCTTCTGCAGAGCTAACAGCTGTAAACTGCAAAGGAAGAATTCAATACAGTCACTGCAAGATTTCTGCCATAAGGTCTGTAGCAACTACTAATTTACAGGTGATTATACTCCATGTGCAAGCCACACTTAAAGAAGCATGCTACTGATTTCAGGGTTTGCCCCTGTCAGGTACTTCACTAAGCATGAATACAGAAAAACATGCATCACAGACAGAGGTTCCATATTACCCACTAACATCATTCAAAACACATCGCTTTTTAGATTTGGAAGTTTACGCATTCGGCTGCTGAATCACTAAGTGATGAAAAAAATCATAAGCATGCACCTGTAAATTAGCTATATATTGCAATGTTTTGGTCTTGTGATGCCCCTCATCTCTACTATTGTCCCATCTCTTTCTTCTACATAAAATAAAGTTCTACTGACAGTACATGGTTATTTTGGAATCCCACAAAGACACATGGAGAATTCTCCTGCCCCATTTGTTTTGCAAACCCCAGACAAATCATTGCAGTATGTTGGGGTGCACAACTTGTCACTGCTCATATTCAACATGGTTATTACTGTATTTTAAAAGCAGAATCAAACAACATGGACACAGTCCTTAGATCCATTACAGACCCGTTTTATCTATAAGCCCCCTTGAATCCCTGTCAGGGAAAAAGGTGAATGAATGAATGGCAATAAATATATTGAAAGCATGTTGTATGTTCTTATGACAACTGGAGACAAACCTCTCCTGATCAACTTGTAGGCATGTAGGCATGGCCAGGAGTAGACACCGAAGCCCCAAACACATGCAATGCAAAAACATACATGTGCTCAGTATCAGTTAACCACTGGTCCTGTTAACTAGGGATGATGGGAGTTGTAGTCCCAAAACATCTGGAGGGCCGAGTTTACCTATGCCTGAGTTAATGGTTAAGAGACTGAGGCAAAGCTGGCCATACCACGAGGGACCTCTAGGTGGCAACCTATGGCAGTGCTTTGAAGGGGGAGCTACTTCATTCCTGCAGTGTATGTGTGTGGACTTATAGCTGAGTGCTCACAACCTAAGCTAAGGATCAATGTAGGAAGGAGGGACCAGGATACTAAGGGATGACCAAGTGGCAAGCAGATAGTCTTTCTAGCAGTGGGTAGCTGCTAGGTAGCAGGCTGTGCAGGGAGGGTGAGGAGATAAATAGCAACAAACTCTAGTACCAAAGGGTGGCATCTGATTCACTTAAAACTGCTTTTTCCTGGGCTGAAGTCAACCTGAGCCATCTTTCCACATGTCAATTAGCTGTTAACATAAATTTATATACAAGTTAGCCCTAAAACCAGAACTCTTGGGTTCCCTTTCCAGTTTTGGAAAGGAATTGGGGAGCAGAGATGAATTGAGCTTGCTAGCTTAGAGTGGGAGGAGGAAAGTGTGAAGGTATTTTCAAGTCCACAGTGGTTCTTGCTTTGATTGGATTTGTTATGCAAATGTCAAATGTACACTGGCCTGAGGAGAGAGGAAGGCCTCTCCTCCTTTCTCTTCCAGGTTTTAACAGTGATCAGAGTGAATGGTGTGGAAGAGGCTCAAAGGCAGTCTAAGTTTCAGATATATAAAAAGTACTCTCAGGTCAGATTGATAAGATTTTGTAGCCAAGTAAGGAAAAGAAAATGGCTTGCGTACTGCAGGAGGAGGCCCAAACCCAGTCCTGACACATCCTCTACTGGGAGTTGCCCTGACTCCCACCCAACACATGCAGACAGAAGATCTTACTTGTAAGTAAGAAAGAGATATTTATTCAGGCAAATTAACAGTACAGGCTTGGCAGCTGATACAGTGCTCTGGAGTCATGATTTAGGAGTTCAGGAGCAGTGCAAGATGTTCAGAACTAACTGGAAGGGATGAAAATGTCCCAACAAATTTCTCTGCCCTTCTCACCAAGCTTTTAAAGACAAGGCATGGCACCAGAGCCATCTTTCCCACAGGGCTTAGTGGTGCGTTGCGCCAGGGTGCCGGCCTCTCAGGGGCACCCCAGAGAGTGGGGGAGCTGCGCGGCTTTGCCGGCGGCCTCCCCTTTCCCTGCATGCCCACCAGCTGCGCAGATTGCTCTCCTCCCAAGGAGGCTTGGGAGGGAAGCTGCGTACCTGCCAGCCATATGGTTAGCGGGGTGCAGCTTCCCCCCCAAGCCTCTGTGGGGATTGCTCTCCCGCAGCAGCATGGGAGAGAGTCCCCCCCCCGATGGCTGGCAGTGTGCAGCCTCACAGCCCCCCCTATCTGTGGTAATTTGGGGGCGCTGGGTGGATATTTGCACCCCAGCACCGCATCTGCTAAAGATGGCCTGGCACGACGTGTTCACTTGCTACTCTCTTGTCTTGTAGGAATGACGAGATTTCAAGTGAATGCTCCATCAGGGCAGTTGGGTCTGCTTTCATCTACAAAGCCAATGCCTGATTCTAGGCAACAAGACTACACCCTTCTGTTCAGTTGCTGACTCATCCCCTTGGCTGATCAAAGCTCTCCCCAGCCTCCACTAAGTTCCTCAGGAATATTAGAAGGAAGAGCTGGCATCCCTCTTGCCCTTCCAAAGTGTCTGAAGTCAGGGTGCAAAGGGGAGTTCCCCCCTCCTCCAACCCAGGTTCCCATAACTCAGTCCCTGTACCGAGCTCCTTTTCTCCCTCCTCTTCTGTAAGAGCCTGCCAATCCAATCCTGACAGCACTGTGGGGTTCATGACAGGAGTCTTCAGAGGCCAAGGGGTCAGGGTTCCATTGTCCCCACTCTCTCCTTTCAACTAGCACTAAGCAGAATTCCTTGGCTGGAAACTCTGGCCATTTGGGCGGACACACCTACCTCATAGGTACGTTTACCAGGAGAGGTCAGCTCGAAGCAGCAATCTCTTCGAGAATCCTTGCGCAAGTGGAAAGCCATCTGGGCATGGTAGTTCTCAATGGCAAACATGCCTCTTGGTTGCTTGCCTGCATAATACAGTAATGATGATTCAGCAAACTTCAAGTTGCTAGCTTGCTTACAGATACCACTTTCACAATACAAGACCCAACCTGTGTCTTCTAGATTCTCTCTAAAGTGGGTGGGAAGAAAGAGCCATGTGGGCAGACAGAAGAGGGGCCCTGAACTGTTTCACTGTCTGTATTTTCCTTCCCAAAACTGCTTTTTAAAAAAGCCATTATTTTCTACAGGGGATATTACTTCTAGTCATTGAGTCTCATTGAAAGAAGGGAACATGTTCCCCTTGGTGCTGTGTTGGGGTTTAGAAGTAAACTCAATTCTGCACAGGGATCTGCCACCATATGTCAAGTGTGGCAAGCCACTATATATTGACCTCAGTCCTTCCACTTGTAATATAGTGATATTATTGGCCTAACTTACACAGTTGTTGCAAGGATGTCTCTGATGAAAGACATGGAGTGCTTTGAACAGGCAAAATGTGGTATCCGAGTACTGCTGTATGATGCTGATGTTGGTGACTAAAAATCCCCTTTAACACTGGCAAAATTTACAGACAAAATGGAACTCTGCCTAAGTCCCAGCGTATATGCTACAACTTGCAACTGCCACGTCGAGGTTGCTTTAAATTGTATATGTATAGATAATACTGCAAAACATAATTGCTTACTTAGCCCCAGTGTCCATTATCCCTTGAATTGTGCTGGGGAAAAATCCTGTTATTGAGTCCTCCTCCAGCTCTGAATACTCCTAATGCTGTCCCCTCTATCATCTATTTCTTCTTGTATATTTTTTTTACCTGCTCTGCATTCAATCTCCCTGGATGGGAGGCACAGTATAATCGTAGCCCATCTATCTAGGCATGCCAAATTTGGTTGGAAGTATTAGCTTCCTGTTTATATGCATCTGATGGAGCATAACTGAAAAATATTTATACATGCTGACACATAGATTATATATGGTCACTTAGGGGAGGGTTAAAGCCCGCCTGACAACTAATGGGGGAAAAATGGGCAGTACTTTATTTACACAGGGCCTTGTGTCCGTATTTCTCCTTTCCCTCATTCTTTACTGACAAGGGTGTTGGAATACAACCAGACTCTGTTCTCCGTTCGTAAGGCTGCATCTAAATGGCAGATTCCCACACTGCCTGGTGGGCAATTTATCATCCAGTTGGAAGAGCCACTGTGATGTACTGCTTAGAAGGTTACATGTGGATGAGAGAGACCCAGGTTTAGATCCCTGATTAGTTGAAGCTCATTGGTAAGCAATTATCCTAGCCTAACCTACCTCACAATAAGAATGTAAGAAGAGCCAGTAGCCCATCTAGTCCACTATTCTGTGGCCAAGCAGATGCCAAGCAGGACCCATTGGCAGGTTTGCAACAATGCTGCTGCAATGATAAAATGAGCTCAGCCCTCTGTACGTGCCTCAGAGTTTCATGGAGGAAGACTGAGGACAATATCTAAATTACGTTTAGAAAGCAATACTGAGGAACAAAGGAGCTTCAGAGATGCACCAGAGTTCAGGCAACTTTCACCTGCTGTCCCTCCATTCTGGGGACCAACGAACATGAAATCAGGATTGAGGGAAAGCTTAACAGAACCTTCCTTCCTTCCTTCCTTCCTTCCTTCCTTCCTTCCTTCCTTCCCTCCCTCCCTCCCTCCCACCCACCCACCCAATGTGTCTGGATAGTGCAGTGAAAATACTGAAGGGATATGGCTGTGTACATGTGTCAGGAGTACCACATACTTTTTTCATTTGCAAAGTAGTAGAAGGCCATATTGTCAAGGACACACCATCGCTTCTGCCACTCAGAGCCAAATATTTTAGAGTCTGTGAAGAAGAAAGAAGAAGGTGCTAGGTAACGGGAGAAGAATAGGAAAAGAAGGAGTGTCTCTTCATCCATAAAAGGTATCCCAAGATGTGCCTTCTACATCAATCAGAGGGCATTACTACTACTAATACTACTAGTACTTTGTACCAGCAATGTGCCAACCACTGTACAGTGGTACCTCTGGTTACGTACTTAATTCGTTCCGGAGGTTCGTTCTTAACCTGAAACCGTTCTTAACCTGCTGCTGCCGCATGATTTCTCTTCTCATCCTGAGGTAAGTTCTTAACCCGAGGTACTACTTCTGGGTTAACAAATTCTGTAACCCGAAGTGTTTGTAACCCAAGGTGTTTGTAACCCGAGGTACCACTGTATAGACAACATAAGAGACACAACCACTTTGTCTATGTAAAATAAATTGGAAGCCCTCTGGACAAGGACTATGAGCAAATTCACATTAAAAAATTGCCATCAACTTCAAAATGCACATGTCAACTATGAAGAGCACACTAGTATATATGTTACTTTTGTTTTAAAAATGTTTGTAGGTGACCTCTGAGGAAGAATAAGGCACACTCTACTTGTGAGAGATATTCTAGGGGCAGAGCAGCATGGCTAATTCTGTCCCCTCTGTCTTTATCTGTTACAAAATCACTTTTATTACTACCTCACATGTTCCCTTCATTTAGCAGGAGAAGGCAACACCTTCTCCAGACTGATGGCTTTCTTAATTAAGACCATTCCAGAAAAATCTCAAACTATTTCCTAATCACTGGCATCCATTAAGAGGCATCTCATTGATCCTTCTGGGCCAATAGTAGTAATCTGCTTAACAAAAGTATAATCAGATATATGTTCCTAACAGTATTTCAGAGGCAAGTAACAGGAAAGTAATACATATATACATACAGTACATGTACCTTCCGTAGTTGATACAACACATCTGCATTTTTCACTTGGACACTTTTCCTAACATCTAAATCGGTGGATGAGAAGCTGCCCACAGTGTCTGCCCAGAGGGCTTTAAATTTTCAACAGATGGACAGCATAGGGATGGATTATGAATGGATAAATCAACAGCAGGTGCTGTGAAGATTAGTTTGGCAGATTTTTACCTCTGGATCTCTTTTCCAAGTAACCTTGTTTTAGAATGCCTCCTTGCTCTTGAGTGGCCTTCTGCAAGTTGCTCTCGGCTTAAAAAAACAAAAACAAAATCTCAGTAAGCATGGAAAATTATGCTTGGGGAATCTTCCAAGACAACAAAATCAAGGAAATCAGTAGTATTTTAATCAAACTACACCCACAATTATCATCAATTTCCATTATATATGTGATGGAAAAGGCAGTCACTGCCAAACAGCTTTCATGTGGCTGGGCTCTGTATCATGTCAGTTAGGGAGGCATGGGCCAATCAAATTAATCATATTGGTTGGTACTATGCCAATGTTACATCTCTGGCTATATACACACTCTTGTTTATTCTGCATCCAGTGCTGTCCCATGGCTGGTTTGGGAAGCAGTATGCACACATTAAAAAAAGGTAAAGGTACCCCTGCCCGTACGGGCCAGTCTTGACAGACTCTGGGGTTGTGCACCCATCTCACTTAAGAGGCCTGGGGCCAGCGCTGTCCGGAGACACTTCCGGGTCACGTGGCCAGCGTGGCAAAGCTGCATCTGGCGAGCCAGCGCAGCACACGGAAACGCCGTTTACCTTCCCGCCAGTAAGCGGTCCCTATTTATCTACTTGCACCTGGGGGTGCTTTCGAACTGCTAGATTGGCAGGCGCTGGGACCGAGCAACGGGAGCGCACCCCGCCGCGGGGATTCGAACCACCGACCTTTCGATCGGCAAGCCCTAGGCGCTGAGGCTTTTACCCACAGCGCCACCCGCACACATTAGCCCTAGTCTATATCTACCCTGTATATATCCTGTCATTCCTTCTGAAATACTGAGCTTTTCTCCAAATCAGCTTCAATTAAATTGGGGGGGGGGGAATGACCTAGCTGTGTTTTAAGCCGGTGATGTGCACACAACCTCCATCTATGTGAGATACAAAATTTGGATTCCAGCATAGGGAGATGACCTACCACTTCCATTTGGTCTTGAACATTGTGTGTGTGTGTGCATGTTTGTGTATGTGGTAAAATTCCAGTCCAGGCTGAACTTGCTTGGAAAGCCTATTTAGACAAGCTTATTCATTTATTGAAAAGCATTTGTATACCACTTAATACTTTAAACATACCTAAGCAGAGTTAAACATTATATCATCAAAACATTAAACCTAACATGAAGGCATACAAAAGCAAACCAGAAATAAACAGAATATTCAAACCCATAAAAGTTGTCACTGTGGGATAGCTGCACAATCCCATACATGTAGTCTCAGCAGTAAATTTCAGTGAATTTAGTGGAGCTCACTCTCAGGTATGCGGGTATAAGATTGCAGGCATAAACAACCAAATGGAGACATTCATTGTGATGGGATAATATGTGTTGATATAACTTTGTCATTGCTTCAGTGTGCATCCAGTTCCAAATGCAATCCATGTCTGAGGGGCTCCATGAAACCTCTACCCTTGGAGGTGTCCAGCTGTAACTATGTATAAGTTGCTAGAGCTGCAACCTACATGGCAGTTGCACCCTTTGCTCTGGAGAATCTTTCTCATCCCATGTGCGTGTCTGCAGTTTTCAGTGGTTTAGGAAAATGTGCTCTGTAAATCTTCAGAGATGTTCTCTTTGTTGTTATTATTTCACATTTTCCAAGATTTGGTAATAAAATTGAATCTGAGTGAATCTTGGCTCTGGCAGCAGCCCCGTGTTGGGTTTTGGACTCTCACTTCACAATACAGCCCACTTCACACTGTGAATGCATTTAATACACATCTTGGCACATCAAGCTTGGACTTGTGAATCGATCTGCAGTCTGCCTCAGCCAGAGATTTACACCCTTTCTCAGACATTTACATAACCTTTTGCCTAGGCTGCTTATATTTCTTGTTAATTAGCTGAAAGCTGGAAATGTAGAGTCAATTAATTCTTCCAATTTCTCAGTGTCCATACTAGGAAACCAGGGGGCCCAACCTAGAGAGCTGTGGTGACAGCAGCAAAGCTTATCCAAGGCATCTTGCTGCTGCAAGTGGCTGCACTGCATGATCTAAGTGAGGCACCCCTGGAAGTATCCACCGCTGTAATGTAAATAATGCTGTCACAGAACTCTCAGATTGTGCACAGCAGCCACTTGGGATGCCAGTACAGTTGGACCATGTCTCATCAACAGGAAGGTGTTGCAGAAATGCAGCACAAATAGATAAGCCATGCCTAGTACACAAGCTAGTGGTACACAAGGTTCCACAGTCTATGTACATATTGTCCAATTGGCAGATGATCAACACCAACATACAGCAAGCTTTAATGCACCTAAGCACAGCAAATCTTCATGTGAAAACTATTGTAGCTTGTGCTTTTTTAGAAGAGGGCAAAAGGCAATCTATGGGAGAAATGTGCAATTCAAAGTTTAGGTAGCAATGTGCAAATCAAACACATACATACACCAGGATGTTCTGCTCTCTAGCACTCAAAAGGATGGCCATTCTGTTTCGGAAAATATCAGCTTTTAGTTTTTAATCTATACAATAATGTACTATGAGATGTTGTAGTGAAGATGATTAAGCTTCTAGAGGTGTTTGGCTCAGCTACTTGCCTGGCCATTTATTGGCTTAGCTGCTCTCATCATCATCCAAATTTCTGAGTGATGCATTCTGAAGCAAAAGTTGAGTTTGCATTCAGAACGTGACTTTAAAAACTCAAAATTGGAACGCTTTAAACTCTTGATTGTTTTGATCTTGGAAGGCTTCAGATATAAAAACTCAATGTGCCTATTGTCAACTTACTGCCTGCTATCTAACAAATGCCACTTATCAAATTCTGCTATCTAATATTGAGTGCCAATTACAATATATAGATGAAAATACTGAGAGATTATGTTTTAGGAATGTTCCTGCAATTAGAGAAAACCCAGCGAATATTTTCCACTAAAATTCAGAAAGAGTGCAACCACAAAATACAGTTAAAGCACTTTTAGCCACTGTAACAGTCCACAGAATTTCACATGTATGAATGACAAAAATGATAACTTGCACTTAAATGCAACATCTCTTCTTTTGAATATATAGTAAATGTATGCATGTGTATGTAATGCTATAGGAGTGGTCAATGTTGTTGGATTATAAATCCCACCATCCCTGCCCATTAAACATGCTGGTTGGAGCTCTTGAGTCCCAGAACACTCAACACTGATGGCACGAACCTTTTATGAGAAACTTGGCCACATGGGAGGGGCTCAGTGTGGCAAACTACTCTTTCAAACTCTGACCAATCTAGCAGACAGAGTATTCTCCAAAGACTAAGAAGTTACCGTATTTTTCTCTCTATTACACGCAGATTTTTTCTCCTAAAAAGGAAGGGGAAATGTCTGTGCGTGTTATGGAGCGAATGTGGGGGGGGGGGGTCCCTGGAGCCGATTAGGGGAGCGCAGGAACAAAAATCAGCAAAAATCAACCATGCGTTGTGTCGGAGAGGGAAACCTGAAAAGAGGAAGTGGTTGCTTTCCTGCATTCTGCCTCAGGGTCTTACTGCCCACCCTCCTCTGTTTCGTTGCTGTGTTTGCTCAAACGGAACAAAGAGCAGGCAAATCCCCTCCCCTCCAGGCAAGCAGAGGGGAAAGCAGAGGTCTTTCCTTCTAATTCCTCTCCGTGCTCCTCGCAGGCAGCCAGAAAACATGCAGGAGGAGAGAGAAAGCTGGCTTCGGTTTGTGGAAACTTTTGCCTTTCTTTCCTCCCTCCCGTAAAATCTCTCTCCTGCTTTCTTAGCCAGCTGCTTCTCTGCACACCGCTCTCTTGTCCCTTCTGTGTTTTTCCTTCACTCCCCACTTAAAATGTAGTTACAAAGCATGGATCCACATGGATCCTCAGGATCTTTGCATTGGGCCACCCCAAATTCACCATCAGATCACATAGCAGCCTGCCCCCCAAAAATCACACACCCACTGTTGCCTGGGGCTGCAATGGTGCAAAAACGTGGTTAAAAAGCATGGATCCACATGGATCCTCAGGATCTTTGCATTGGGCCACCCCAAATTCACCATCAGATCACATAGCAGCCTGCCCCCCAAAAATCACATACCCACTGTTGCCTGGGGCTGCAATGGTGCAAAAATGTGGTTAAAAAGCATGGATCCACATGGATCCTCAGGATCTTTGCATTGAGCTACCCCAAATTCACCATCAGATCACATGTCTGTGGCCACAGCATGAAGCACAAAAATGATACATCCACTGTTTCATTCAGAATTTTTTTCCTTGTTTTCCTCCTCTAAAAACGATGTGCGTGTTATGGTCAGGTGCATGTTATAGAGCGAAAAATACGGTAGTCTGGCGATAGATGTTCTGCAGTGGTAATTGGTGGTTTGTTTATGTTCTAGAGCAAGAAATAAAAGTGGAATCTAACTGCAGGGTAGGGCTGAAACTTGTTTCTATCTAGGTGTGCATTTCTTCATGCTTTTTGCGTGTGTTTTTTAGATATAGAAAGGTGTGTCATATACACAAGGCCCTCTCAGGGGGGCAGATGTCCAGGGCCCCACTCAGCAGCATGAGAAAGACAGCCTCCTGAACACAGCAGGGCTGTCTTATCACATTTTGAAGTAAGTAAACTAATACACATTACCATCTAAAGAGCAACCCCTCCATAAGACCATTAAGGCCAGAGTCTAAAATTACCTAACTGCACCACTGGGCGTTGTAAAAAAAGCAAAAGCAAAACACAAGTCCTTGCTTGCAGCTCACAATAAAAACAAGAGGGAGAGAAATAGAAAACGTTTACATTACCTGGTATGGAGAGTGAAAGAAGGAAGGAAGAGTATAATAATCAAGAAGTAGGAAAGAATAAGGAAAAAAAAGGACATCAAGAGGGAAATGCAAGAGAAAAATGATAGTTTTTTTAATAAAGTCTTCAAGTGAAACAAAAGAGGCCAGCTGAATATTGAGAGGGAGAGAGTTCCATCCGCAAGGAGCCAAGAGAGAAGGCATAAAGACAAGCACAAGGGAATGGAGGTTTAATCAGAGTATTAGTATCTGATGAACTGAAAGTTCAAAGAAGAGAACAGAAAGAAAGCAATGCAGATGAATAAAGAAAGCAC